AATTTAGGCCGAGTAATTTAATCATGTGATGTGATGATCACGAAGATATCACGGGGTACTTATTCTTCAATCTTCCCGTACTGTACAGTATCCCTTCTCGCACAATAAGTATTATACAAGTTTTTGAAAAAGACTGGAGATATACTTTTTCACTTTTTTTACACTATAACAGATAAGTTTTTTTAGCAATGCAATGAATCAATATATCGAAGATTTTTACAGAGTGTGAATGGGTAACAGAGAATCAGAACTTTAATAAAAATTAAGCAAGACTTATTGTATTTTATTGTCCGTAGTTGAATCAACAGAAAGTGTCCGAAGAAATATACTTGCTGGCAAAACTATGAGATTTGGGATTTTGCATCATAGCTTCGGGCTACGCATTATTTAGTATATGTTCTTATTTTATTTAAATTGTGTAGCAAGATTTTATAGAATAAATATAAAGGTTATAGAAGACAGGCCTCGTTAATCTCATGAATTCATGTTATTTTATTTATTTTTAGTAAAAATCATATTGTTTTGTTAAAGGGCCCATAAACATGAATAAATTCCGCTTAATTTTTAGTACCTTAAATAAAAATGAAGGTTGCTCATTATATATTGACTGGCGAAGGGTGATGTTAGCGAAGGGATAATTAAGAGTATAGATGCAGAACGGCTCGACCGGTTTGTATATTCATAATTATAATTAAAACAAATTAATAAACAGAACCGATGAGCCGATTTGCATCTCCGGGTTGAAGTTTTTTTATATCTTTTTTTTTTTTTTGGTTTTTGTTTTTTTTGGTTAAAAACGGCGGGGATAAATTATGATTTAAATTAATTTATAAATGATGCATATAGAATTGAATGATCACGCCCAAACGCCTGATAATGAAAAAAAGTGTTTGGTAAGTTTTTGCTTTTAAACGATGGTTTTGTCTTTATCACTATTAAAGAAAAAAAAAATTGTTGAAAAGCCACACTTAATGGTAGATGTACTTACCAATCGCAGCCATAATACCAGCACCAACAATTAAGCAGGAGAAAGCGGCAATTTGATTGTTTCTAGGAGTTTTATTTTGAAAATCCTGGTCATAAATGAAGTCATTGGCAATAAGTTCAACCAAAGCGGCATATAAAAGAATTCCAGCAGAGATCGAATCAAAAATTCCTTGTACGATAAGCGCGGTTTCAGAATTAGGATTGTAGGATTCATGAACAAAGAAACCTATAAGAATGCCTATCGGAGTTGTAGTTCCGTAAGCCAATGCCATCAACCATGGTTCAAAACTTTTCGGGGGGAAGGAGAGCTCAGCAATACGAGAACCGAGCCCAAGGCCTTCAAATGTCTGAGTTAATATTTATTGATATATTGAGTCGTTAGCATAATTAATATAATGAAATTAGGAAGCTGACAAATATTAGGTAATTATAACCCCACAGGGAACACTCATTAATAGACAATGCAATTTAATAAGTCAAATTGGTATGTCATATTAAATTTCATTTCCTATAATTACCTAATATTTTTCAACTCCCTTATAATTTTAATAATTTTTAATGTAATTGTTTAAATAATATTTACTTGATGAAATATTAATGCGACAAATAATGAAATAAATTCGTCACCCGCGACGGATAAGGCCATTCCGATAATTATCGAATGAAAACATATACCAAACTCTAAAATAATGATACCTATTATTTGAGCACGGGAGCTTAAAGCAGTATGAGCCTGGTGATGAAGATGTTCATTTTCATCCTGTTTTTCGGAGGCCTCACGAGTTTCTTCTTTATTCGCTTCATCCATCCTGGCAGCCATTTTTAACGCGATGTATTCAGTAAAAAAGACGAATAATGCTGCCATCATTGCGATTGCACCTGGCCAAGCACCATAAGCTGCCCACGGTGCCTGAAGGCATGGATTATTCAAAGCCGCAAATGCCGCTGGAAGCATATGTACTAATATATAAACAATAAACTAATTTATTATATTTAAATTCTTTTAATTCAGATAAATAAAAGTTTAATTACCGAAAGCTGTGGCAAGAATCACGCCGCTCCCAAAGTGTTTGGTAGCTGTTTATTCATAAAAAGAAACTGTTAAAATTTATCTGGTAAATTAATGATAATAATTAAGAGAATAAAATTATATTTACTGAAAAATACTACGCTTGGAACCTTAAATCTGGGAAATTTCTTTGAGAGGACAGGAGTGAATGCACCTATTGTTTATATATATGTTTATGAACTTAGAGACACAGCTAGTTAAATGGTTTATTATTATTATTTTCTTTTACCAAGAGAGCTTGTTGCAAGAATTACAAAAAGGGAGGCCAAGTGAAGTCCATAGTTATAAGAAGAAAGTTCGGGTTTAGAGAAACATTGAGGAGCACTAGGTTGAGTAGAGTTATCCGAAGTAGTGGAATTGGTGCTGGTACTGTCTGCTATTTATTTGAAAGAAATGAATAAACTGCTTTAATTTTTTTTTAATAAACTGCTTTAATTTTTTCTTAATAAACTGCTTTAATTTTTTCTTAATAAACTGCTTTAATTTTTTCTTAATAAACTGCTTTAATTTTTTCCTAAATGCACTGGATAACTTACCATCTTGAGCACAAACCGTGCCAAGAATAATTGCAAAAACGAAAGTATAGTAAAGATATTGGATCTTATACGTCATCTTCCCTTTTTTTTATTTATTTTTTTTATTTTTTTTGAACTCGCGAGCTTATAAGGAAGAAGGGTGGAAGGGTGTATTCGATTCGCAAAAACTTCAGTGTATTTCATAACCAGCAAGGTACACAGCAGATCATGAAAGAGTACCTTACAGGTTATCCACAAGATTAAGATTTGAAATTGTAACTATTAAGGTACTCAAAGTGTAAAATCTATCGGTAGGTACCAAACATTTCCTGAATGATTGTTGCACAGTTATTTAAATGTCCAAGATAAACTGTCACATTTAACGAAACAGATACGTATTTAAAGACTTTCCAACAACTCGTCAGTTTAACTCACCTCATGTTTTCTAAAATTACCCAAACATACTATCCATTATCTAGTTAGTGTAATTGACGTATTTAATGACTTAACGGGCAACAAATGAACCTCCTATAATTAATAATTCATCGTTATGATTAGAACAGCTATTGCACTCACTGCTGGCGTTTTCCAACATAAATATGTATGATTAATTATCACATACAATATCTTATATTTATTGTATGTGAATTAACAAAATTAAAAAAAAAATTACTAGTACCAATAGTTATTTCCTTGTTGCCAACAAATTTACATATATTAATCGTCACATTACTCACAGCCAACGGGGTAACACCAACTTATAGTTTGCATATTACTGCATAACCGGTGGGGTCATCTTTTATCACATTTTGGGAAATTATAGTATATAGACAACATGTTTAGAGCTAAATATATGGGTCATCTAAAGCCGTGTCCAATCACGTACCACAGAACCATTTTTATCGACACGGATCAGCCCGAAAGACAAAAACAGAAAAAAAAGTGAAAACCGCAAAAAATAAAAGAAACGAGTCTAAACCTGTCTTGGAGCATTAATAAAAAAAGTCTGGAGGGCAATTTTACTATAAGACATACCCTAACCTTAATCCCAACTAACCCTTACACTAATTTTTATAAGACAGATGACTGGACACGGCTTTAGACGTCCATCCCAACACAATCTATCTTTTATCAAAGTTTATGTAAAGTCGCCTCCAAAAGTTTACACGGTTACACAAAAATAATGATAAATATTAATAAAATATATCTGATTAAAAAGTCACCGGGTCCAGCCAAAATCTTTCTTATACAAGACTTTCTAATATCAAAGACTTTTCTTGTAAAATTTTCAATTGGAACTTGTAAAATTGAAGGTTTCTTATACGTTCGAGAGTTGTTGTATATACATAGTTAACATAAATTTGTGTTATGTTTTTCGTGTAACCGTTTTAAACTTCTGTGACGACTGTCAGTATCCAATGAAGTTAACAATGCCCTCAAAGATTAGATTTTTTAAGATTAAGCCCCTAAAAAAAATTATTGGCACTCCGATCTATAATAGCAATGTGTCTAACCCATTTCCCATACGCCTAACCCATCTTTACCATTAGCGCAACCCATTTTAAAATTCTATACAATTCGAATAACCATTTTTAAATTTATCGTTACATATATGTACGAACGTATAATTTAACAATTTGATGACTGTCAGTAACATTGACAATATTTTATGGATAACCAAAAATTTAAAAAGTATATCATCGTTGAGGAATTATTTGCGTACATCATAAAATCAAATAAAAAAATCAAAATTATCAATGCGATTTTCATTTGTCAAAAGAAAATTGATATACTGTACACGATATTACACAAAAACTGATGTACGCCTAGGGGTGTGAAAAGTTCGGTCCGGTAGAATTCAAGTCTTAATATGTACTCAGACTTGGGACAAAAACTAACTTCCCAAGGATTGCCAACAAAATTTTTGCGATCACGTGAAAATTATCCAATAACAACTACCCCAAGAGCACCACCAAAAATTTTTCGGTAACAAATTCTTAAAAGTTTGTTTGAACCTTGTATTACTTAAATAATGTCTGGAGTCGAGTTGGAACCGGACCGAACTTTTCACATCCCTATGTACGCCTCATCATCGTTAGTTCAGAATAGGATAGATTGGTGAAGCAACCAAAATTCAGCAGATGGTCCAAAATTTAGGGTCGAAATAGGCCGGAATTGATAAATTTCTCACAAAATTTTACAGTTGTTCCCATAAATTCTGGGACAATTTAAAATTTTGCTCTTTACCCGAAATCCTTCGGTTTCGTCCTATAAATAATCCAGCTCTCCGGAAACTACATCGCTGCTTCCGGACTAAAGGTTCGAAGATAGTGATATAGGGTCTTTGCCTTGAAAATCACCATCCGATATTTCCGATCGGGTTAATTCGGACAAAATAAACCCGAGTCCGGTTCATACTCATATGTTAGTCATCTTGATTCAATAGTTATTCGATAAACTATTGAATCAATACAGTCAGGGAATATACCATATTTGGAAATCGGGTTCTAGAATGATCTGCAAAAACGT